TCCTTTGGCCCCTTCAATCTCATGCCTTGGCTTTGGGATTGCTCAATCCCTTTCACTTTATGAACTCAATTCCTCAACTCTGAAATTGCAGGGATCAGATCCTGCTCCTGGCCCATATCTGCCCATACAACATGACTCAGGGGCATTCATGGGATGCAGGGACAGTCAGGCAGGAAAACAGGAAAATCTCTGCTTGTTTAGAGGCAGCTCATCCCTTCTTTTTCCGTTGTCTTCTCTGGAATGAGGACTTGAGCTGTCCAGTGAGGGAAATAAATGACCCCCAGCAGCTGCGAGTGCTGATCCTCGAAATCCGCGGAACCCACTTAAATGAATAATAATTAAAGAAATAAATTTCCCCAAGTGCAGCCTCAAAACTTTCGGTTCAGCAATAAAGCCAAGGAGAGACTCGGAAAATGAATCGCTCGGCTCTTTCCGAAGAGAGGCTGCAGTGGGAGAGGTGGAAACTATTAAAGGAGCCAGTGTGGTTTAAGGAAGCCTTTTCCAGGTCGTGTGGCAACAGGCTGAGGAGAGGTTGTGTGGTGATGCTGACACCTGAGGGATAAAAGGATTGAGTGATCCCAGAATCATGGAATTGAGGAGGAAGGAGCCAAGGAATTGAGGAATCCCAAAACTAAGGGATTGAGCTTGAAAGAGACCAAGGATATAAGGAACTGAGTAATCCCAAAGACAAGGCACTGAGATTCAAGGGGCTATAGAATTGACCTCAAAAGGGATAAGAGACTGAGGAATCCCAAACCCAAGGAATTGAACTCAGCGAGCCAGAGAACTGAATTCAAAAGGGACAAGGGACTGAACAATTCCAAAACCATGGGATTGGTGAGCAAAAAATGGGATCACTCTGTTGTGCTCATCCCCCATTTGGAGCACTGGCCAGCAGAGCTGACCACCTGCCTGTCATTGCTTGTGCAGACCCCTGGTTGATTCCTTCTGTGTGTAAGATTTTTCCATAAATTATTCTTGCCTTGGGATGGTGGAAGTAGATGGGAAGCAATGGGCTTGATACTCAACACTCATCATTCTAACAATGTTCCCACCCTCTTGCCCATGCCTTGGCCCTACCACACCCCAACTCTGAATTTCTTCCTTTTTTTCTGCCTATTTCAGTTTTCTACCGATTTTTTCCCTCCGTGAGGAAGATTTCCACAAATTATCCTTGATTTGGGATTGTGGAAGATAGGAAGCAATGGGCTCAGTACTCAATACTCATCATTCTAACAGTGTTCTCGCTTTCCTGCCCATCATCCCTTTGTCCCAGCTCACCCTAATTCTGGATTTCTGCCTTTTCTGGATTTCTCTTTTTTTTTCCCAGTTTTTTACAGCTTTTCCACCATTTAAAAAAAGTAAATTATTGGATAAGATGCTCCAACAGACCTTTCCATGAGATGAGGTCCTGATCCTTGAGCTGTGCCTCGGAGCAATAAAGTCCTTACTAAATAATTAAACAGGTGATAATTAACTGTGATATTTGCAGCCAATTTTTAACTCAAAGGACTATTTGGAATATTGTTTTCGGGGTGTGTTTGCTGCATCCCGAGCCTCTGGGTGACGGGGAGCTGAGCAGGAGTGTTGGATTGGATGGGAGCTTCCTGATATCCATGTGGGAATGCTGGAAAGCACTGAGTGTTGTTTCTGAGTGCAGTTCCTGGGCTGCCACGGGAAATCTCTAAATCTCTGCCAGCCTTTCCCTGGAGGAGAAGGACCTTGAGTCTCGAGCTGTGTTTTTGGGTTATGGAAAAAAACCACCCAGGATGCTGGAGATGGACCTGGATCCACTTGAGCTGAGTTTTAGGATTAAGGATATGAAAAGATCCTAATTAATTTATAGTTGGTGCAGGGGTGCAGCATCCAACCCGCTTGTTTTAAACATTTTTTTTCTTTGACAAGGATAAATTGTGCCTTTTTCCACTTTTCCATCAAAAGCTGGAATTCCAAGTGTCGAGCCAAACGCTGCAGAAAACACCGTGGGACTGCTTGGCTGTGGATTCCTTCCTAGGAGCAGGGAAAAAAAAAAAAAAAAAAAAGAAAGAGTTAGGCCGTAGCCCCCGCTATTAATCATAGCTGTAATCATGCATTTAATGAACATGACAGCTCCCGCTCCCTCCGGAGAGACGCGCGGAGTCTCCCGGCTGGATTGGGAACAACAATCACTTCTCACCGCGAGCCACCGGAGCCGCCAGCGTCGGGCTGGGATGATGCATTAAGAGAAACAGCCCTGTTTGCACGGGCTGCGGGTTTCCTTACGGATGATGCTCCTGCAAGCGACTGAATCATCAGGAAAGGGGGTGAGAAATCCACCTGTCCCTTGCACAGGGTGGAAAATATCCCGGCTGACGCCGCTGTGCTGGGTGTAATCACTTCAAAAGCCCTCAGTGTGCAGTTCTTGATGCTCTCTGTGGCAGGTTTTCTTACTTTCCTGCTTTTTTCCCCCTTTTGTTGTTCCCACTGCCCTGCAGCATATACATGGGAGGAATTTACCATGGCACCACTTTAGATTTCCACAGTGAGGGATTTTGGCAATGCCAAGGATGTGGGAGTCACTTTCCTGATCTGACAGCACCGCTGTGTCCCGATGTTCTCCCTGGCTCGGAAGTGATTGAGGAGAAAAACGGGACAGATCTGATACTGGGATGTGCCCAGTGTTTTGTCTGGACCAAATGAGACTCCCAAAGTTGAGCCCTGGGGGCATCGTTTCAGCTTTTTGTTTAATTTAGGCCAGACTGCAGCAAATTTTGGCTCCTGGTGTTGGATTTTAACCCTTATCCCTTTTTCCAGTGTCTTTTGATGTCCCAATTTCACCCCAATTTCAATAGTACACCCTCCATTGCCAGGAATATTTATTTATTAGTGCATTTATTAATGCAAATCTCTTGTCATAACCAGTTGGGAATTCCAAGTTGACAACCACCCTAAAAATCCAAATTTAGGCTCCCTTGGACCTCCTGAAAAGTCGGGAACATGCAACCCCCTCTCCTGCACACCCTTCTTGTCACTTGAATGTACACAAAGCTTTTATTTTTATTTAAACTTTTTTTCCACGATGCAGCAGCTTCAAAAAATACCCTCATGACAGAGCCTGAGTTTTCTCCGAAAATCCCAATGGATGGGGAAATGTTTAATTATGGAGCTTTCTTGTAATTGGCTTGGCTTCTCCTGGAGAAATATTTGGGTGATTTTCTAATAGTTTGGGGAGGATTTTCACAGGGGATGAATAATTAGGGAGTGGGAAAATGTGAATGGGGGTTTTCTTTACTTTGCCTGGAAGGATGCTTTGCCAGGATGGATCTCACATGGATATTGTCATGGATGGGACCAGCTCTTGGGTAGTTAAACTCCCTTTGGGATGCAAGTTAATCCCTGGAATGGGAGATGCACATCATGTTATTGCATGGCTTCTTGCTGGCAAATGAAAACTGGGAGAAAAAAGCCAAAAAAAATAATTTCATTGATATATTTTTGCTACATAAAAATTCCAACCCACTGGCAGGAGGCTGTTGACCCCTTTTTTTATCCTCTATCTCCTTAGTGATTCCTCCTTTCTGGCCATGATGACCTTTAATGGCCCTTCCAGCCATAACCATTCCATGATTCTGTGATTCCAAACTTGTTCATCCCTGTGTATCTGCTTTTATGCCCAAATATTAAATATTTAGAGGGACTGTGTGCTGCCCTCTGGAGCTGATTCCTGGTGAAGGAATATTCCTAGCTTTAAGGAATATTATACAGAATTCCAGAGGGCTGAGGATGCTCCAGCCCTATCCTAATGGATTTTACTTTGAGGCTTTCTCCCCACATTGTTTGGGAAGTCAACCTTGCCCTTAATGGAGACTCTTCTGTAGCGTCTTCGGAGCATCCCAAAGTTGGTAAATGTTTATTCTAGCACAAAAAAAGATGCTCCCACAGCTTGAGATGAGAAGAATTTAAAAAAAAAAACAGGGAAAAAAACTATCTCAGTGGTGGCTGAAATGCCCCGTTGATGGAATTTGATGTGCAGAGGGAACAGATGGGGCTTCGCCGACGCCGGCAGCCGAGTGACAGCTCGCGGTGCCGCGCAATCAAATTCCACTCGCTCAACTTCCCAACACGCCCGGGCTGGCAGGTGAGTGACTGAGCTGCTCTCATCCCACCTGGAAAACTGAAATCCAGCCTTTCTTTCCTGTCCATTCCTCCCTGCACCAGCCAAGGATGATTTAATTCCGTGCGTGCATGGATGGGAGTGGGCGCTGGGCTTCCCTGTCCAGCTGCGGGGAGTGGCCAAGCCAAGCGTGGAAATTTGTTGGATTGGTGGTGGAAGCATGGGATTTGCTTGGAGAAGTGTTCTGGCACGTTTGGGTGCTGAGGGGAAAAATTCCTGCTGTGTTTGGGGCTGGCAAGGAGCACTTTTGCTGGGGCTGCTCCAGAGGTGGGAAGTCCTTGAAGGGCATCTTTGTCCATTGGTTCCCTGGGAGCTCCGTGCTTTGGGTTAAATGAGATCATGGAATCATGGAATGGTTTGGGTTGGAAGGGAGCTTAAAGATCATCCAGTCCAACCCTCTGCAAGGGCCAGGGACTCCTTCCACTGTTCCAGGTTGCTCCAAGCCCTGTCCAGGATGGTCTTGAACACTTCCAGGGATGGGGAATCCATGGTTTCTCTGGGCAGTTTGTGCCAGGGCCTCCCCACTCTCACAGGGAAGAATTTCTTCCCCATATCCCATCTCTCCCTGTCCTCTGGCAGTGGGAAGCCATTCCCTCTGTTTTGCCATGCCAGGTTCCTGTCCATAGTTCCTCTCCAGCTTTCCTGGAGCCCCCTTAGGCAATGGAGGGGCCTCCAGGTTCTCCCTGGAACCTTTTCTTTTCCAGGCCAAACAACCTCAGATCTCCCAGCTTTTCCTCACAGCAGAAGGTCTCCATCCCTCCAATAATTTTGTCGACCTGAGTGCTGTGTGAATTCCTGCAAAATTTATTGACTCCAAGCAATGATCCATGTTTTTCTCTCTCTCCAGCACTGAGATTGCACTCCACACCCAGTCCTGGGCTCTTTCCACCCAGCCTGAGCAGATCTTCAACGTGCCGATACATTGCCAGGTCTGTACTCCTCATGGGAAGCAGGAATGACGTGCTCCATCTTTGGAATTATGCTCAGGAGGGAATCAGGAGCTTCAGGAGCAGCTGTTGAACTGGAAGATGATTTGGTGAAGCTCTGGCTTCTGCTTTTCTGCAGCTTCTACTTAGAGGTGGTTTTAAGCTCAGCCAGAGCCTCCCCACCCTCCCAGGGAAGAATTTCCTCCCAATATCCCATTTATCCCTGCTCTCTGGCAGTGGGAAACCATTCCTTCTTTTCCTGTCTCTCCATCCCTTGTCCCAAGTCCCTCTCCAGCTCTCCTGGAGCCCCTTTAGGCACTGGAAGGGGCTCTGAGGTCTGTCTGGACAGCCAGGCTGGACATTCCCAGCTCTCCCAGCCTGGCTCCAGAGCAGAGGGGCTCCAGCCACTGGAACATCTCCAGGGCCTCCTCTGGATCTGCTCCAGCAGCTCCACATCCCTCTGCTGTTAGACCCCAGGGCTGAGGCAGCTCTACAGGTGGGATCTCACCTGAGCAGGGCTGAGGGGGCTGCAATTCCCCTCTCCGGCTGCTCTTCCTGTGAGCCTGGGACATTCTGGGCTCCTATGGCTGGATCATGTGGAGTTTCTCATCCACCAACTCCCTCAAGTCCTCCTGAGGACTGCTTTCAATCCATTCTCCACCAAATTTGTGCTTGGAGTTACCCACTACACATCCAGGACCTTACACTTGGCCTTGCACCTCCTTTTAATCCAGGAGCTGCAGACAACCAGCAATTACAGAGGTAAAAATGTGCATTTCCTCTGAAAATAATTTCCTTGAACCTGTGTTTTTCATGGATAATGCACTGTGTCCTTATCAAACCAGATCTGACTGTGCCCTACCACTGAATTATCTCCTTGGAGAGATCTGATGTGTCCCTCATGGTTTGTGTTCACCCTGATCTCAACACTTCCCCTCTCCCACCTGGTCCCACACATCCCAAGAGCTGCTGGGTAATTCCCTCTCCAGCTGGAAGCTCATGGAAAACGTGCTAAGCAACTTCTGAGCTCCTTGAGCAACTTCTAGTGGGACCAGAAAATTAAAAAGGAGCTTTTCTGCTCTTTGGTGGTACTTTTTGTTCTTGTGGCCATAGGTGCTCGTTCTTTAAGGTTCTTGAGCAGGTGCCCACTTGAAGGCCATGAATAGCATCAGGCCCAGCTGGTGGGACATGTGCTGAAGAGTCCTCCAGGTCATTCAGCCTTGGCATCCTGTGCTGCACAAGGAGAGGATGTTTCCTTCCTCACCATATTCCCCAAAAATGTGGGAAACCCTCTCCACACTCATAAAATCTGAGTAGAGAATCAGAGTTATGGGGGTGAGAAGGGATCTCACTGATGATTGTGGTGTAACCTTGCAGATTTTTAATGATTTGGGGTAAAATCAGCCAAAAATTGAAAATATTTATGTGCTTATGAGCATGAACTCCCTAAATATTTCACTCTGCAAAGATGGGCTCCTCTGTGGTTTCAGATGCTGTTGAGGTGTCTTCTCCATGTGGTTGTGGTGTTGGAGCTGGAGGTTTTCCCTGACCTTGTCCCTCTTTCTCCTTCAGCCGTGCTGTGCAGAGGAGCTTGGCCATCATCCGTCAAGCCAAGCAGAAGAAGAAAAAGAAGGAATATTGTATGTACTACAACCGCTTCGGGAAGTGCAATCGGGGCGACAGCTGTCCCTACATCCACGATCCAGAGAAAGTGGCCGTCTGCACCAGGTAGGGATGGACACGGAATTGTGGTGAGCTGGGACGTTGGATGGCTTTGGTGCTTCCTTGTGGGGTATTCCTAAGGGAGCAAACTGGTAACAGAGGTGTAGGACAACAGGAATGGGAGTTCTGGGTCAGGTGTAGGTTCTGCACTGTTGGGTTGGAAGGAGGAGGACAAGAAAAGGCCAGAGAATCATGGAATTGTTTTGGTTGGAAGGGGCATCAAAGATCATTGAATTCCAAACCCCTGACATGGGCAGGGACACCTTCCACTGTCCCAGGTTGCTCCAAGCCCTGTCCAGCCTGGCTGGAACACTTCCAGGGATGGGGCAGCCACAGTTTCTCTGGGAATTCCATTTCAGGGCCTCACCAGCCCCACAGGCAAAAGTATCTCTTCCTAATATCCTATCTATCCCTCTGGCAGTGGGAAGCCATTCTCTTTGTCCTGTCACTCCATCCCTTGTCCCAAAAATCCCTCTTTGGCTCTCTTGGAGCCTGTTTAGGCACTGGAAGGGGCTCTGAGGTCCCTTTGGAGCCTTTTTTTCTGGGCTGGGTGACTTGAGCCCCTGCCCTGGCCACACTCCAGGTTATTCCTTCAGGAGCATTCCTCAGATCCATTTGGATCAGTCCAGCAGGTTTGAATCCCTCAGCCTGTGACGTCGTGCAGCTCCGAGAGTCGGTGATTTATTCCAGGAGAACTGATGTGTGTTGGCAGTTCATTAGACCTGCCCAAGAGTTGATTAAACTCCATTATGAGTCATTTAAAAACTGCAGAAGAGCCAACTCCACTGATGAACTCCTGGAGTAATTTTTCCATAAAATTGCCGCTGTGCTGGAATCACTTGGAAGTTGCTCAAAGCTCGATGGGAGACGATAGAGGAGGGGAAGGTGATTTATTGGTTTTTTAACTGATTTTACTTCTTCTCACTCATTCTCCCATAACTCCTTGCCTACTTCAGGAATTGTGCTCCTTGAAGTCTTTTGGGTCTCCAACCTGTCTCATTTCCATCGATCATTGGAGGACAACACTGATTTCTCCCACTTTTGTGTGTCCTCATCCTTGTTCCTTTATCTCTAATCCCATTCTTTAGCTTTCCCTGATAATAATTTTGTTAATCTGGTCTCACAGTGGTCAATCCTAGGAAAACTCTTGACATCCTCATGTGCTTTGGGATCTTGGTTCCTGTTCTGGGCCTGTCTTTGCTCCTCCTGGTCATTGGCCACTCCCACCTGGAGCTACATCCAGGATCTCTTGGAAGGGGATCATAGAACCCTGGAATGGTTTGGATTGGAAAGGACCTTCAAGATCATCCAATCCACCCCTCTGCCATAGGCAGGGACACTTTCCACTGTCCAAGCTCCAAACCTAGTCCAACCTAGCCTTGAAAACTTCCAGGGATGGGGAATCCACAGCTTTTCTTGGCAACTTGGAATAATCAGGGGTCTAGGAAGGACCTTTCTCCTTCTGGGAGCATCAGGTCTGAATTTTGGGGTACAAGCCTTGCTTTACCTACTAATGAGCAGCCAAATGTGATGAAAGAATAAAATCTATCAGGAATCATCAGCTGCTCTTCCAGCAAGGGGGATCTGTACTAATTTAGGGTGTGAAATGGGTTTATGGATGAGCTTGGCAGCAATTGTGTGGTTTTTGTGACCCACCTCGTGTCCAGCCTGCTCCATCTGCTTTATCTCCAGGTTTCTCCGTGGCACGTGCAAGAAGACTGATGGGACCTGTCCATTTTCCCACAAGGTGTCCAAGGACAAGGTCTGTGTGACTTCCCAACGGGAATGGGGCTCCCTGTGCAATGGGGTGGTTGTAGGAAGGTTCTTCCTCACTCAGTGCTTCCAACTGAGTTTGGAGTTTCTTTGCTGAGCTGTTCGGGCTCCTGAATCGTGACAGAGCCATGGAAGGGTTTGGGATGGATGGGACCTTCAGGATCATCTCATTCCTACCCCTCTGCCATAGGCAGGGACTCCTTCCACTATCCCAGGTTGCTCCAAGCCCCGTCCAACCTGGCCTTGAATTTTTCCAGGGATGGGGATTCCACAGCTTCTCTGGGAAACCTGTACCAGGGCCTCCCTATCCTATGTCTAGAAAAGACCTATGAGGTCCTAGAGATCTAAAAAAGACCTCCAAGATCATCAAGTCCATTTAGATACATCTAATCCTTCCCTGCTTCCATAAGATCACATTTCCCTGGAAATCCCTCTGTGCTGGGGTCAGAGGATGTTTTAACAAACATAGATTGGAGGTATAAATTAATAAAAATCAATTCTAAAATGCCAATCAGCAAAATCAGGTTGAAACCATGGCAAAACAACTCTGGAGTTCATTTTCATTTCTTGATTAAAACCTTCATCAAGAAGGTTTTCCACCTTCTTGATGTATCTGAAGTTCTGTGGTTTTATTACATAAGGTGGAAAAATAATCCAGAGTTTTTATTTTGGATTTAGCACCTCAGCCTGTGTTTAGTGGCTGGGATCTCCACTTGGATGTAGCTTTGGAGACTCCAGCATGGAAGCTGAGGTGGCTGAGGCACGTTCCTCGTCCATGGGGAGCTCGTAAGTTATCCGGGAAGTCACTCCTGATGAGACACGGAGCACCAGATGTTTTTTACATGGATTTATCTTCAGAGTCACTTAATCATGAGTACATAAAACAGGGATGGGGACAGCTGCATTCCCTGGCTTGTGGCGTGTCAGAGCAGGAATGGGGATGAGGATTGATAGATGGAAAAAATTTATTTTTTTTTCTATCCTGTAACAGCATCAGACTTCAGAAATAAAGAAGCCAAGAATGAAGGAAGCTTTGCAGGTGGATTAGCTGTTGGTTTATCCAAAAATATTGTAATTAGTGAGGCCACCTATTTCTTGTCATCCAAGTGAACAAAGTGCAACCCTCAGCTTGCACCTCTGAAGTGAAGGATTGAAATTCATCCACAGAACCATGAGCTCCAAATTAAATGGAGTTTCAGGAGGTGGTGAAGTCTTTTTTGATCCCAAGACAGAAAACCTAGACGAAACTTGGGAATTGGACACACTCAAGGTGCTGTTGCAGTTGGTGGTTTATCCACCAAAGAATGTGATGGTTGGATGTGGATGAATTTGTGGTCTCTCTACCCAGGAATATTCCTCAACAGGTTTAAACTCCTGGTGGAAATGTGGCCTCAGTTTCCCCTCCAGAAACACTTGGTCCCTCAAAGAGGATGTCCAGATTTGACTTCTGGGCTCTGTTTTGGGTGAACAAATTGAGAATGATGGAAAACTCAACCTTTAGCAGCACCTCTCCAGTTTGAGAAAATAACAGTGATATTGTGGTAATAAAACTGAATTAAAAAGGAGTGACCATGTCAAGGAGCTGTTTGCCAATAGCATTTTGGGGACAGAATCCCTGGGATGGGATCCCATGGGATGCAGTGACCTCAGCCCATCTCACCTTTATCTTGAGGTAATGAAGAATCACCTAAACTCAAGATGAATCATTAATTAATAAACCAAAATCATAGTTGGCAGTAGCAGAAAAGCCGATTTTTCTGAAAAGCTTTTGGAGCACATTTTTCCTGCCATGCTCCGTTGGGAAGAGGAATTATTTTTCACAGGATTAACCAACCTGAGGGTGGTTCAAAGGTCTCCCTGTTGGCCACCTTGTCATCAGCAAGGGCTGGAAGAGAAGCAACCTCCTCCATGGAGTTCAAACTTGTTCCAGGGTGATTTATTGCCATGGGAATGCTGCTTCCTAAAGCGGGAGGCAACTTCACTTTCCAAGTCCTGGAGCTCCCCATTAACCTGAGTGGTTCTTGGCAAAGGTGGCTTTTCCCTCATTTATCAGGGCTGGGAAAAGCAGGTGGAGGCACTCAGCAGAGGAAGGAAGCAGTTTTCCTCCTGCTTGTGGAGTTTTTGGAGTAAATCCCACCTTTTCCTCAGGTGAAGGATTGTGCCTCATTGGTTTTTGGCTGTTTGAGTTGAGGTTTTAATGCAATCCATGTTTTTTTTTTCTCATGGGATGATGTGGTGGTTTGGGGATTCCTGATTTTGTTGGTCCCGTTGATTTCACTGTGTGGTTATTGGAGAGGGACATCCCAAAACCTCCTGGTCAGAGAAAGTTCAGGTTGTTGTGTGTCTCACTTTGGTGGGATATCACTGGGATGGGGTATCCAGTTCAGGAGGTGAAGGATCAAAGGCTGTCCGGATTTGGCTCTTGGTTTCAGGACAAAACTGTTTCTCAGCCTTCATGCACTCCCTTGCCTCAGTGTCCCCACTAAAAAATGGGGATAATCACTATTTTCTGTGGGAAAAATCACTGTTTTCTGTGGAAAACTGCATGGATTCAACTGTCACAGCAGCAGGGAGCTTTTCCCCATCCTAGAGCAGCAAACCCCTTATTCCAAGCAGGGAATGGTCCCCAGGATGGAGGATGGCTCCAGATTGTCCCTGAGCTTTGCAGATCCAAACTCCAGTGGTTTCCATCACCCTCTGGTGATGGAAGAAAGAGCCTGGGGAAGAGGGAAAGCTCTTCTTTTTCTGCCATGGGCAGGAACACCTTTCACTATCCCAGGTTGCTCTAGTTCCTGTCCATCCTGGCTTTGGGCACTTCCAGGGATGAGGCAGCCACAGCTTCTCTGGGTATTCTGTGCCAGGGCCTCACAGTTTAAAGAATTTTGCTCCACAGGAGACTCAGGCAGAGCCTTGGTGAGAAGCACCTGCTGAAGTGACACACAGGGAATTTTTCCACAGTGGATCATAGCCACTGGCACATCCCAACAATAGGGAGAAACCAGGAAATCTGAAGGAAGCGAAGGTTGCGAGAAGCCGGGACTTGAGAAGCCGCCCGCTGCTGTTGCAACAGCTTTTCCCCTTGAGGAACTCGGAAAGAATCAGCATTTTTCTCCCTAATAGAGCTTCAAAACTCAGTTGTGAGCAATTTGGAGGCTCACGTGGAGTTTCGGGTTCATTTAGCTGCTGCCTCCAGAGCTTGTAGAGAGTCAAAGCTGTCGAAGGCGGCCGCAGCGCCCCAGTGCCTTGAATTAATGTTATTGTTATTTGTGTGGACGTGCTGGGGTGCAAACAAGGTTAATTGAAATGAGAGCGCTGCTTCCTCTTGATAATGGCTCGGGCTTGACAGCGAGGAGGAGTTTATTTTTGTCAGAGAGCTGCCTTTATTATCCCTTTTTATTAGAGCTAATTTGGGCTCTATATCAAAAACTACATTAAGGGAATCGTTTACGGTCACACCACCAGCACTGCCAAAGATCGCCCCAGAGCCCTGTCCTTTATGTTAATGTCTGCAGTTAAAAGACAATTAAAAATAAACTCTCCTCTTTTAAAGCACCCTTTGTTTTCTTTCCTCTCGGCCTCCAGTGAGGCAATTTAGTTCAACCCTTAATGTGCCCTTCAGGGATAAGGGATTTTTCCGGATAGCCCCGGCCGTGGTTATTGCAGGATTGTAAATATTACTTGGGGATGCTTGAACTGGTGGGACCACGATGCTGCTGGTGAATGGGGTGATCAATACCACGCCAAGCAGTGAGGAAATTCGGGATGTAGGAGCAGGAGGAGCCGGACCTTTGGGAAGTGCACATTCCAGGTGGCAGCTGCCTGGTCGGGGCGGGAAGCGGGAAGCTGCCGGCGGTTGCCGGTGAGTTAAGGATGCTGAAATATGGCAGCAGGCTGGTAATTTGTTTTTAATGATAACAGCTGGCAGAAGGTGAAGTTTGTGCTTTGAGGACGATGAGGAGAATCCTTGCTCCGTCGGTTTTCCCCGTCGGCTGTCGCGTTGCAGAAAGTCGGGAATGCGGGCGCGCGGAATCAGGAATCTGCTCCGTGTATCCCACTGCTCTCCTTCTCCAATGCTCAGGGCAGGAGCTGCTCTCCTCCTCATTTCACTCCCTCCTGGAGCATCCCTGCGTGCCCCAGTGTGCAGGGACAAGCATCACAGCCCTGGGAAATTCCAGGAAAATGCCTTGGAATGATGCAGCCCCCCCCCAAAATCCTTGCGGAGGTGCTTTTTTCCCCCCTTTTTAGGAACCACCTTTTGTAGCCTTTATCAAACCCCCTTCCAGCCAGCTCTGTATCCATGGAAGAACCAAATGGGAAACACTCCCAGGATGCTATTTTGGCCTTTGTGATGGCCAAAATTTCCTCTGGGATGTTGGGATTCCCTCTGAGAATTCCTTGTGAGATGTTGCAGCCGGGCTGGGTGTGTTCCTTGTGCTGCTGTTCCCATCTCCATCACTGCATCATTCCTTGCAAAAGGTGTTCCCAGAATTCATGACATTTCCCCATCCCTTCCCTACACTGTCCAGAGGGAATTTTCTTCCTGGTGGGAGTTTCCAGCTTTTCACCCTCTCTCCAGCATCCTGAAGGATGCTGAGGGAAGCGCCTTCGCTCCCTGCGTATCCAAACACCGGGAACACGTAATAACAGGGAGCTGCCTTGCAGGAGACCAATGGAAGAGCTAAAAACACCTCTGGGATCGGTGGCTGGCAAAAGATTTCTATTTATTTTATGCTTGTCACGCTTTTATTTCAGGTCTGGGGGTTGCAGTGGTTCCGAGTCACGGGTTTAGGGAATTGCTGACGGATTTCTCCTCCTCTTGCAGATGCCGGTGTGTTCCTACTACCTGAAGGGGATCTGCAGCAACAGCAATTGCCCCTATAGCCACGTCTACGTGTCCAGGAAGGCAGAAGTCTGCCAGGATTTCCTCAAAGGATATTGTCCCATGGGAGAAAAGGTAAAGAGGGATTTTTCCCACCTGTTGGGGGCCAAAGCCAAAGCCATGAGCAGCGTCCTGCACCAGCTACGGCACCACAGGGAAGAGCTGGAAGCTGCTCAGCGCCTGCACGTGGTGAAGAACAGTCCTGTGCTTTTCCAAAGGGTTTTGGCAAAGTGGTTTGTTTGGGAGAAAAGGGAAAGAAGTCAAAGGCTTCAGGTCATCAACATGCTGGTGTTTCCCTGGTAAGAGCCTACATGGCATGTTCATCTGAACTGGAAGCACCTGCCCTGAAAACCCCTCACTGAAACAGGTGAAAAATGCAGGAAAATATTTAGGATTCCAAGTTTTACCTAGAAAATCCGTAGGCATTAATACTTATTTTCCACTCTGGCTCCATAACAGGTTTAAACTTGAGCCTTAAATCCTGTGGCTTAGTTTTAAGAGCACGACCAGCCTTGCTCAGCATCCAGCTGTGCCTGGGGCATTCATGGAGCCACCTCCAGGTCCTGGGGATGGTTTGGATCTGTGCAGTGAAGTCCTACATGGACTTCATGTGCTCCTTGGGGAGAGTTGCAACCTCATCCATGATCTTTGGTACCCAATATAACATGGAAATTGTGGGAGCAGCTTTCCTTGAGCAGGGCTTGGAGCCAGCTGTTCCAAAGGAATTTGGAACACACAGGATCTCACCTTTCTGTGTCGTGGCTAAGGGAGAGGGTCGGCCATGCTCGTGTTCCCTTGGGAATCCAAGTGACTGTCCTGACTCCTCTTTGCTGTTTTCTAAATGGGTTATGGGTTATGGTATGGGATTTCTGCTCATACTTGAACAACTGTGGCAAGCAGGAAAGGGGGGAATTCAGCCCCTCTGCCCCAGTCAGGTGAGACCCCAACTGCAGGGCTGCCTCCATCTCAGGATCCAGCAGAAGAAGGAAGATGTGGAGCTGCTGGAGTGAGTCCAAATGAGGCCACATAGATGCTCCAAGGGCTGGAGCCCCTCTGCTCTGGAGCCAGGCTGGAAGAGCTGGAAATGTCCAGCCTGGAAAATGGAAGGCTCAGAGGAGACCTTAGAACCATTTCTAAGGGGCTAAAGGGGCTCCAGGAGAGCTGGAGAGGGACTTTGGACAAGGAGCTGGAGTGCCAGGACACAGGGAATGGCTTCCCACTGCTGGAGGACAGGGTTAAATGGGATATTGGGAAGAAATTCTTCCCTGTGAGAGTGGTGAGGCCCTGGCACAGGCTGTCCAGAGGAGTTGTGGGTGCCTCAGAGGGCTCTTCTCCTCCTTTTCTCCATCATGGTAACACTTGTTTGCAGAGGTACAACCCATCAGGAGAAGCTGTAGGTGCGCAGATCCCACCAGTGTGGCCACCAGCCTGTCCCAGAATCCCAACACAACACTGGATGAAATCCTAGGATCATTTAGGCTGGAAAAGACCTCTAAGATCATTGAGCCCAGCTTTGAACCCAGCACTGTCAAGTCCCACTAAACCCCATCTGGCCTTTTCCCCATCCTTTCCCAAGGAGAAACCACCAAAGAGCAAAAACCAGGAAAAAAAAGCCAGAAGTGAGAGTTTTAAGGAAAGCAGGACATCAGCAGCAGCAGAGGGAAGCTCTAATAAATTAGTCTGGGCCTAATTACTTTTTGTGGCAGCGCGTGGAGGGGGACTTGATGCAGGATAAACATTCCCTCAGAAGCAAAACACAGGCATCCTGCCACCTCCCTCCAGCGCAGCGCCAACCACGCAGGCAGGGTCCCGACAATTATTTTTAAAATATTCCAATTTAAATGAAAATATAAAAGAGATATTTAGAATATTTATTCTATTAGGAAAAGTGCTTACGGCGTCACTTTTGGAGTGTCGGGAAAGCATTCTCCTCCAGATGATGGATAGCAGCCTGTAATTATATATGGGGAGAAATTGCTGAGCGGGCCATATTTAACTGGGGAGGAGAAATTCCAGCTTGGGCCATTAAGGGTTAATTTTATTCTCTAAATAATATAAAAAGTGCTGAGTCCGTGCCTTTGCTCCAAGTAGAAAGTCCTCAAATGGACCCCGGAGAGTTTATAATATTCTACTGAATCAAGGAAAAATGTTAACCTTGCTTCATAAAACGATGGCTTGTTAAAGATGCGCAGTCCCTTTTCTTGTGAATTATTTAGGATGGGAGTAAATCTTCCCTCGTTCTGCCTTTCCCTGTCCGAGCAATGTTGGCTTGAAGCACAAAGAGCACGGAATGTGAAGGTGTGTGACTCCAGTGGAGCATCCTAGGTGGTTAAACTCCAACTAAGATGGCCCATAATTAGGAATGGAGGTTGTTTTGTGATGATTTTTGGCATGCTGGGCTCTTCTTCCAGTTGCTTTTTCCTTTTTGTGCCCTCCCAGACAAACACAATTCCTGATTTTTAGCAGACCTCCATCAATAATGTCCATTATTATCCATAATTTATGACGTGTCACTGGCAGTGTTGTCTCTTAAGGACTTCTTAGGATGTGTTGCAGGATTCTCAGGATAAGTTGATCCACCTTTGACCCATTCCATGGACTGTAATTCCAGCTGCTCTTCATACAAATGACACCAGGACTGACCCGCTCTGGCTTCACCAGCAATTTAGAATTAAGTGAGAAAGCTTTAATTTTGCATTCCCAAGTCCTTTTTTCAGGAAGGTGGACTATAGAGGGTCTAAATCCACCCTTGGGGAAGGGGACAACTCCTGTACAAGACCATGATCACATCCTCCTTAAAGGGAATGTTACCCCCAACATTAATTAATTAATCTAAAGTCGAACCTGATGATTTTGGACAGCTTTTCTAACCTAAGTGATTCCAGGATTCTCTTTCCAGAAGGGAGCTGGTGGCAGAGCTAGGACCTTGGTTTCCAGCATTCCTACAGGTTTCTTAATCATGGGCTGGGAAGTTCCTCCACCATTTGTGCTTCCTAAAGGTATCATCCTTAAACACAACATCATATATGTCCCTTAAGGCCATGGAGTGATTCCCACCTTGGAGATCTCTGTCCCAATTTTCCTGGAGCTCCCTGCCCTTCCCTGGCACCCTGACCTGGTCATGCTGGGAGGTCCCTCTGGGCTTGGCCACCTGCACTGGAGGAAGCCCCAAGAGGGAAGTGGGAAGAGAGGGAGAAATGGGGCCTCTTGCAGGTTCTTCCCAGGGTTTTTTGGAGATGTTTTTGTGAGCTGCTCTACAGTCAGAGCTCCTCTGTGGTTCCACGTCCCTCCTCCCTTATGGGGCCTTGTGCCGGGGCTTGGAGGAGGAATTCTCTAGGAGAGGATGGGATGGGGCTGGTGGGTGTGAGGGATGAGGCAGCACCAGTGAGTGAAGTGTCTGTGGTGATGTGACCCCAGAGCAAGGGACAAGCAAGAGGAGATAGTGGATGGAGATGCTGTGCATGGCCCATCCCTGGAAGTGTCCAAGGCCAGGTTGGACGGGGCTTGGAGCAACCAGGGATAGTGGAAAGTGCCCCTGCCTATGCCAGGGGCTTGGAGCAGGATGGGCTTTAAGGACCTTTCCAATGCAAACCAAATTTGATGTCAAACCATGGGCTGGGATCTCTGTGAGGCTGAGCCTGGAGCTGGGAGTTCATCCATAGATGGTCCTGAGGAGCACCTTCCTTGGAATTTGCTTTCCAGGCACAAAAGATGAAGGAGGAAAGATTTAGATGGGATATTGGGAAGATTCCCTTCCTCTGGCAGAGTTTGTCCAGGGAAGCTGTGGCTGCCCCATCCCTGAAAGTGTCCAAGGCCAGGTTGGACAGGGCTTGGGGCCACCTGGAATACTGGAAGGTGTCCCTGCCCCACAGCAGGGGTTTGAAATGAAATCATTAAGGTCCCTTCCAACTCAAACCACTCAATGATTCCATTGCTGCATCTGGAAGATTGTTTTGTATTAAATAATCTCCTCCCCTCCATGCCCGTTAGTGCCAGAGCCACATTAAATCCCTCTCCCTGGATTGTTTCCATCGCCTGCCTTGGAGCCTGTGGGTAAGTTGTTCCCTCATGGGAGCTGTTAAACAGTGAGACACAGTGAGATTAAACAACGAAGCTTCCCTGGAAAGGCTCGGGGAGATGGGCTGGAATAAATCATGGATAAGAGGAGAATCTGTTCCCATCCCTCTGGAATCCCAACTGGCACATCCAGCCCTTGTGATGGTGAGGCTTGACATGGGGACCTGCCATGGCATGTGCTGGGACTGCTCATCCCAGCTCATCTTATTCCTGAAATCCATCTTTTTATTGGACCAACAGCTTTCACCAAAGCTCTAATTTCTGCCTTATCTGTGTAAAAAATATGGGACAGGGGCAGCACTGCCTGAGGAAGTGCTGCTTCCTTGGGAAGAATAATTTTCCTCCCCCAGGTGGAGCTTGGTGTTTTTTGCAGTGGCAGCTGCTTGATTTTGCTGTAGAAAATCCAAGTGTGGGGATTTTTTCTCAGCTGAAGCCTCATTCTTGTGTGGTTTTTTGTGTGTTTGGTTGGTTATTTTTTCCTTTTCTGGTGGAAGTTCAACAATTTCCCACCAGAAACGTAATGTTTTGTGTGTCTGATACATTCAGTTTAACACATTTCTTTAGAGAAAGCCACATGAGCTGTGTTACAACAGTAAATATTAAATGTCTGTGGCGTTTTCTCTAAATTATCCAGTGATGGAGAGCAGCAGCCCGGGATCCTTGTTTTCCTTAATCTTTTATTATGGAAAGGTGAAGTTCAACACTGTTCATGCTTTCTGATCTCAGCTGACTTTTTCAACCAGCATTTTTCTTTCCTCACAGCCATTAGATCTTGGTGTTTCTGGATCTTTTTTTCTCCTCCTTTGATCCCAGGTTGACTCCCAACCAACTTGGCTTTTCCTTGAGGAACTCTTGAACAAAAGGTTGTCCAACCCTGGCACAGGCTGACTTGGCAAGTTGTGGAATACTCATTCCTGGAGGGATTTAACAGCCCTGTGGAAGTGGCACTTGTGGACATAGTGGTGGCCTTAGCAGTGCTGAGGGAATGAGATTTTCCC